TCCTTACCTTCCAGATTGTATTTGTCTGAGGTGAGGCAAGGGCACTGGTTTGGATGCATGGATGGATCAATGAAGTCATAGATGAATGAAAATTTCATAACGTATCAACAGAAGGAAAATTTGAGCCAAAAAAATATAAGGCAAGTTAGAGGTAGAATGAAGCAGGGGAAACAGGAATTCACACTATACAGGCAAAAATTAACCTTGATGGTGCAAATGGCTAACATACCAGCTGCTAAACAAAAAGTTGTGGATAAGAGTTTATCCATAGGTTTCTTGGAAGAAGGACCTGTGTACCTGTTGACCTGGCTATTCAAAAATAGCCATTGAAACCCTTCTGAAGCACAGTTCTATTTGACATGCATGGGTTCAAATCAACTGACAGTAACTGGCTGTTGAAACCTCATATCATGTGAACCTGGACCAGATTTTGACTTTGTGTTCTTCAGCAGCTAAAGCAAAGGGAAACAACTTCTGTTTCTGCGGCAGTGGAGAAAGTCAGGTAGGGAAATCTCCGTGCTAGAGAGGGAATGAGAGCTCATGCAAGAAGCGCTCACAGAACAACTCCAGAACTCGGATCTACCATAAGGTCCAGGACGTCAGTTTCCCACACTCACAGTGAAAAAAATCAAGATTTTAAGGAAAATACTGCAAGTTAGGAATCAGGAGATCAAAATTATATCAATGTCAAAGAAGGGACAAATGTAGCAGCAGAGATCCAGGTGGTGAGGATACCAGGTAAATTACAGGATACAACGGATTCTCTTAAAGGGAGAGAAAAGTTAGTAGACTATAAGGTAACCCCCCAAAATGTAAATACTTTACAATTTACCATGATAATGAACTTCCAAGCAGAACAAGCAAACATAAAAACTAAGAACAAACCGACAAGAAATAGCAAAAAAAACACAAACCCAACACAAGATAGCATGCAGAACAAAAGAACGAGCAGCACTACCAAAAAAGTAACATAATGGCAGCAATGAATTCATACCTATCAATAATTACACTGAATGTCAATGGGTTGAATGCACCAGTGAAGAGACAGAGAGTGGTAGAATGGATAAGACCCTTCAATATGCTGCCTGCAAGAGACACACCTTATACACATAGACAAAAACAGACTAAAAGTTAAAGGATGGAAAAAAATTTACCAAGCTAACTGCATCAATAAACAAGCAGGAGTGGCAATACTAATCTCTGACAAAGTAAACTTCAAGATAAAAACCAGAATAAGAGACAAAGAAGGACACTATCTCATGATCAAAGGGTGAATTGAGCAAGACGACATAACCATAATAAATATCTATGCTCCCAATGAAAGAGCACCAAGATATATGAAGCAAACCATACTAGAATTGAAGAAAGAAATAGATAAATCTACAATTATAGTGGGAGATTTTAATATGCCACTTTTGAAAAGGGACAGAACAACCAGAAGGAAACTCGACAAAGTTACAGAGGAATTAAACAACGCAGTCAACCAACTTGATCTCATAGTTGCATTCAATCTAAGAACAGCACAATATACATTCTTCTCCAGTGCGTATGGATCATTTTCCAGAACTGATCATGTGTTAGGTCACAAAGCAAGCTTCCATACATTTACAAACATCAGAATTCTACAGAGCATCTTCTCAGACCACAATGCTATAAAACAAAGGGAAACATAATCAGATGTATAACCACCTGTGAGTTCATTAGATTCAAAACAAACATGTTGTCTACAAAGGCCAGCTTTTTTCAGAACCAAGATTTCTTGTAGTTGTTAGGTGCCATTGAGTCGATCCTGACTCATAGCAACTCTTTGCCCAGCAGAATGAAACGCTGCCAGGTCCTGAGCCATTCTCACAGTTGTTATATAACTGTTGTTCTTTTGCTGCTTCTCGCTGTGTTAATCCATCTAGGTGGAGGTCTTCCTCTTCTTCTCTAACCCTCCACTTTACCTAACATAATATCCTTCTCCAGGGATATTCTGAAGTATGAGAGACAAAGTTTCACCATCCTGGCTTCTAAGAAGCATTCTGGCTGTATATCTTCCAACACAGATTTGTTTGTTCTAATATCCCATGGTACTTTCAAGATTCTTCTCCAATACCATAATTCAAATGCATCGATTCTTCTCCTGACTTCCTTACTCATTGCCTATCTTTCACATGTCTATGTGGCTATTGAAAATTCCAAGAATTGGGTCAAGTCCACCTTAGTCCTCAAACAGATCTCTTTGCTCTTGAGCACTTAAAAGAGGTCTTTTGCAGCAGATTTGCTTAATGCAAATGTTGTTTGATCTCTTGCCTACTGCTTGCATGAGTGCTAATTGTGGAGCCAAGCAAACTGAAGACTTTGAGACATCAATCTTTTCTACATTTATCATGATGTTATTTATTGGTCCAATAGTCAGGATTTTTACTTTCTTTACATTGAGATGCAATCCATACTGAAGCCTGTAGGTTTTTACCTTCGTCAGTAATATTTTAAGTCCTCTTTAACTCCAGGAATCAAGATGGTATCATCTGCATATCACAGACTATTAATGAGACTTCCTCCAATCCTGATGCCACATTCTTCTTCATGTAACCCCATTTCTCTGATTATTTGCTCAATATACAAATTGAATAAATATGGTGAAAGGCTACAACCCTGGCACACACTTTTCCTGATTTTAAACCATTCAGTGTCCCCTTGTTCTGTTCAAACAATTGCTTCTTAGTCTATGTACAGGTTCCTCATAATCACAATTAATTGTTCTGGAATACCCATTCTTCATAATATTATCCTTAGTTTGTCATGTGATCCACATAGTCAAAGCCTTTGCATAGTCAATAAAACAAAAGTAAACACCTTTCTGGTAGTCACTGCTTTCAGCCAAGATCCACCTGATGCCAGCAATGATTATCTCTAGTTCCATGCCCTCTTCTGAATCTGGTTTGAATTCCTAACAGTTTCCTGCTGATATACTATTGCAACCATTTTTGAATTATCTTCAGCAAAATTTACTTGTATATGATATTAATGACATTGTTCACGGATTTCCACATTCCACTGGGTTACCTTTTTGAAATGTATACATTTGGTTGGCTAGGTAGCTGTCTTCCAGTGCTGCATCAGTTTGTTGAAAGATCCCTGTTTGTATTCCATCAGTTCCTGGAGTCTTGTTTTTTGCCAATACCTTTAGTGCAGCTTGGACTTCTTCCTTCAGTTGTTCAGCTTCTTGAAATGGTTGAACATCAACCATTTCTTTTAAGTACAGTGACTCTACATATCTTCCATCTTCTTTTGATATTTTCTGCATCATTCAATATTTTCCCCATAGAACCATTAATATTTCAAGTCAAGACTTGACTTTTACCTTCGGTTCCTTCATTTTGAGAAATGTTGGATGTGTTCTTCCCTTTTGGAGTTCTAACTCCAGGTATTTGCACATTATTTTACTTTGTCTTCTCACACTGACCTTTGAAACTTTTCTGTTCAGCTCTTTACTTGTTACCACAAAGTAAATCCAGATAGTAAATAAAAGGAAATTCTAATAGTAAGGTACAAGACATTTTTTACACACCTAGATAAAAACACAATAATGCTTTTCAAAATGGAGCTTGATGGCCCAAAAAAAGAAGGCTTTTTGAGGGAATTGGATACTATCCAAGGTGAGGCTCTAGAGTCTAAGACATATTGGTCCCTGTTAGGTGCTCTTCTATGTATGTTACTTCCTAGAACCCACATCCACCCAGTGCCTTCAAGACCCTACACAATTTGAACCCTGCCTGCTCTTGGTCATCTAACCATATCATCTGTCACTAACTTTGCTTTAACCATACTGAACAATTTGAATTTACCAAGTTCATTTCTGCCATTCAACCTCTGAACTGCTATCTCCTCTGCCTGAAACTTTTTCCCCAGGTCTTTGCATGACCAAGTCTTGGTCCTCTAAGATTTGGGTCAAATGTCACCTTGTCAAAGAAGCCTTTTTTGCCTCTATGTCCGATGTCACCTCCCTCCTCTATGCTGCTCATGTTTCCTCATATATTATGTTTGACTTTTGCAAAGCACATTTCACTATCTGAAACGATCATAGTGACATGTTTACTTAATTGCTGTCTCTCTTTTGCATCGGTCTGTCTTATTTGCTGCTGTATCCCCTATACTTAAAATAATACTTGGAACTGTAGTTGATAAAAAAATATTAGTTGAATGGGCTAACTAATAGTTTCATAATTACACTATATTTTATATTAAGCACAAATTCAGACTCTTTCACAATCAACTGAATTAAAGTTATGTCGACATAGTCTTATTAAAGGGAGGACACAGACAAGGAAACCAATCTAAACCAAAGATCATCTCTAATATTAGAGTCACATTGGAGACGGCATTGCTTTTAGACTTGATCACTCACCCTTGTAAATTCACAAGCAGTAGCGTAAAACTGTGCTGCTTTAGTGGTGACTTTCTATGATTTTTTGGTTTTGAATCAATTGCTTACCCTCTATATCCTAAACAAATGCACATAAAGCTCCAATTCTTTCTGTGTTGTCTTAGACAAGCTTTGGAACTTTCCTGAGCCTTGTTTTCACGTTTGTAAAATAGTTTCAGTAATAGTAGCTACCTCATGAGATTGTTTTGATGATGAAAAAAAAATAATTCTTGGAAGCACTTAACCTGATACCAGGCATAAAAGATGCACTCAATAGATAAATGCTATCGGTAATAATAATAATGTCCATTATGATATTAATTCATTAGTGTTACAATCCTTTTATATGACTTTCTCTCTACTTGAAGCGCTATCACAGGAGCCTATTTTACTGGCGTCTGGAATATTTCTGCAAATCTTACTTGAATGAACCAAAAGTATGTCAAAGAAACTCAGTAAATACAAAGAGTCATTATAGTTCCCAGTGCAGATAGTTGTGTATGTGTGTGTGTGTTCAGGGAAGTAATTCTCCTAATGTCATGACCTCTTGTGTCTTTTCTATGCAATGACTCACTTGCAATGGGTGCAGAGGAGAAGGCCAAGAAGGAAGCAGAGGAAAAGGCTCGCCTGGCTGCAGAGGAGAAACAAAAGGAAATGGAAGCCAAAAGCCAGACTGAAGAAGGAGCAACTGGCAAAGCTGAGAAAAAGACATCTGGGGAAGCAAAGAATCAAGTCAATGGAACACGCACAGGCAAAAGTGACAACTCTCGTGGGAAAAATTCCAAAGCCGAGAAGTCATCAGGAGAAAAGTTGCAGAATGGTGAGTTCTCCTCCGTCCTGAGAGTAGTTGTGTGCTGGTGAAAGACATGGGAGAGCAAGGTAGTTTTGCCCTCACAGACCTGGATCCAAATCACAGTCGTGCCTCTCACTTCTTGGAAGTCATGGTCTGGCTTCTTAACCTTCCACCATGTCTGTAAAATGCACATTATAATACCGTGGGCCTCTTGTGAGCCTTGAATGATGATAGTAACGAAAACAATGATGACAACAACCACAAATAGCATTTCTCAACAATACACCAGGCACTGTTTTAAGTTTTCTCTTTACAGTTTCAGTGCCTTCTATAGCCCCATGGTCTATACCAGAGATTTGCTCTAGTTTTTGTGCTACACGGCCTCCTTAAATGAAAAATATGGTGGAAATGCTTAGCACAACATTTTCCACCTATTTTTATGATTCATGTCTATAAGATGTGTAATCAACAAACACAATTTTAATACATATAATAATGAGAAATTGCTCTTATCATGTTCTAAGAACTTTGTGAAAGTTTGCTCTGTTGACCCACACAATAACCCTAGAAGGCAGGAAGGCTATTGTCCAAACCTGACAAAGGTAGAGCCAGGCTCACAACAGGCAGTTTGGTTCCAGAGATTGCTCATGACCACTGCACCAGACAGCATGTACTGATTATCTATTCTGAACACTTCGTGTTAGAATAGATGAAAAGAAAGTACAGGGCATGTCTGTCACCCTAGAGAAGTTGGGAATATCTGTTAGAGCCTGCCATGGAAGCTGGACAAATGTAGGTTGAAATTTTAGCCTATTACAGCATTGTTCGTTTGAATGACCTATTGAGTACATCCAACATTGCTTATCTTAGAGAACTACAGTGACAATGAAATGAGATGACATGCCTCCTGTCTGGGTCTGGTTCACGGTAGTGGAGAGATTCATGAATGGTGAGATTGAACAGTGATGTTGGATATTCTGTTATGTGCCAGACATTACACTAGAGATTTTACCTACATCTAATCACTTTTTTTTAAAGGCATAATGACCCAATGAGGCATACACTCTTTTTTCTATTTTACAGATGAGAAAACTGAGACTTGTAGAGATTCAATGACTTGCATAAGAGCAAAGAGCAAGCTACCAATAAGCGAGCTCAGGACAAACTTAGTTCTATACAAGTACAAATCCCATTTTTTTTAAATAAAAAAAGGTTTTATTGTGAGTTGAGTGAAATTTCACAGGGTAGATCATCAGTTTTACGTTCAACAAATCATACACCTTGTTTCATCACAATGATTACAATCCCCTCCATGTTCCATCAATCAATAGTATTTCTCTCTATTCACTTTAGCTCTTTTTTTTTTTTTTTTTCATAAACACTCAGGCATATATAATAATTTAAACCACCAAAGGGCACATTCTGCAAGTCTGCCTTCTGGCCGCCAGCTCTCAGTCCCTCTCTTCCCATGAATCTAGAGTCCTCAGCTGCTCCCTGTCTCCATGTTCCCATCTCTGCCTCCATCTCTGGTGTCGCTGCTTCTCTGGATAGGGTCCCACGTTCCACTTGATCTCTTCTCCCTTGATGGTCCTAGGGTCCTCTGTTTCTGAACTGTAAGATTAACTATTCCCCCGTTTTTGTTACAAAACTTCTACTTTTACAGTTGTGACAGTTGCAATTAGTCATGATAACAATTACTCACTATTGAATCATAAGAATCTTATCCCCATCTCTTTTAACCAGACCCGTCTAGACAAGATGAAAACTATTCAGTGGGGTCTCTAGCTTCCCCCACATACTCTGAAACTAAACTCCCTCTTGAAACCTTGTAAGCCAGTCATTTCATGCCTTTATCACCCCCTCATTTTAGGTAGCCAATGTCTAAGTCACCCATCCTGTCTACCCTGTATATAGCAGTGATACTTAAGATGAAGACTCCTTCCCTCTCTGTTGGTATTTAGAGCTACTACCTCCATGAGTATGTTGTTGTTGTTAAGTACCATGGAGTCGGTTCCGACTCATAGTGACCCTGCGCAGGGTTTCCGAGGCTGTAAATCTTTATGGGAGCAGAACGCCTCATCTTTCTCCCACGGAACAGCTGGTAGTTTTGAACTGCTGACCTTGAGGTTGGCAGCCCCACTCGTAACCACTATGCTACCAGAGCTCCTTTCCATGAGTATAGGTCAAGTTAATCAAATTGTAGCAATTTACCCTCATTTCCTTTAGCAAAAATTGTTGTTGTTGTTTTAATCTTCCTCTAGTTGAGTTCTGATTATCAAGCCATCAAGGCTAGGTCAAATGGGTACTATCTGCAAGTTTGGGTCAAATCCCATATTCTTTAAGCAGCATATTTCTATTATTTTCAAGATTCAGTGCCAGCTATGGAGAAAGAAGAATTGGAGAAATATCAAGACACAACTATTGTCCACAAGGAGTTGGGAAAGTTTTTCTTTCAAGGGTCAGATGTTGTTGCTTTTAAGTGCCACGGAGTCAGTCTCAACTCATAGTGTCCCTGTGTAGGGCTTCAAGGCTTTAAATCTTTCTGGAAGCAGAAAAGCTTATCCTTCTCCTGAAAAATGACTGGTGGGCTCGAACCACCAATCTTGTGGTTCGAAGTCCGGTGCTTATCATAAAGGGTCAATTAGTAAATACTTTTGGTGGGCCATGTGATCTGTGTTGCAACTGTTTACCTTTGCTGTTTTACCACATAAGCAACAAATGAGGGTGGCTGTGTTCTAACCAAGCTTAATTTTTGTATACTGAAATTTGAATTTTATAGAATTTTCATATATGACAAAATGTTCTTTTTCCTTTCCCTCTTCCATCAAGTTGATTGTAACTTATAGGAAACCTGTAGAACAGAGTAGACCCACTACTATAAATCTTTATAGTAGCAGGCAGGCTCAGCTTTCTCCTGCAGGACAGTCGGTGGTTTTAAGCCACCAGCCTAGTGATTCGCAATCCAGTGCTTAACCTGCAGCACCACCAGACTTCGTCTTTTTTTCCCCCCAACCATTTAAAAATGTAAAAACCAGTAGATTAGAGTTTATAAGGGACTGTGGAGAGGGAAGATTGTTGGTGGTAGTGTTAGTTGCTGTGGAGTCTGTTCTGATTCCTAGCAACCCTATATAGGGTTTCCAAGGATCAGTTAGTAGGTTTGAATTGCTCACCTTGTATTTTACTATCCAGTGCTTATCCTATAGTGCCACACCAGGAGTCCTATAGAGAGGAGGATAAGAATGCTTAACGAATATAGAACTTCTGTTTGGGGTGATGAAAAAAAAAGTAAAAACCAGTTTTAATTTGTAGACTGTATAAAATGACAGCTGGTCAGACTTGGCCTGTGGACAATACAGTTTGCCAAAGCCTGGTCGAGTCAGTGAGTGAAAGCAGTGCCCATCACAAATGAGTTACAAATTCTACAAGAGGAGTTTAAGCTTTGTCACCTCAGAGAAGACTGAGATGGCAGTGATTCATTTTAAAGAGGATTAGGAGAAAGGTTTGAAGGAGGAAAGCTGGAGCCTGAGTATTCAACAAGATTGGCTTGACTTCACAACTTTGTTTATTTCCCAAAGTAAGCAGCAGTCTACATTTCCCTTAAAAATTAAGTATTAAATGAGAGGTGGGAAAAGCAATCAATTGTTTATAGCAATAACAAGAACAGCTAATGGTGGTTCAGGGTGTGTTACAGCTGCCTAATTAAAATGATTTATAACTGCACAGAAAGACTCTTTGGTTTCCCCTGTTTATTGAATTACAGCTCACACTGGCCATTACTCCATATACAACCCGTGGAAAATTACCTAATGGGTTCTGTTCAAGGAAAATTATCGAACAAGAATGGTCACTTTCCCGCTACCCTTCTTTGTGTGCCTCTCAAGATAGTTCCAGGTTTGAGCTGAAGGATGTTGGTTAAATAGAGTTCTAGAGGTTTGGTGCCTTATCAACAATGAGGGGGTCCCCTCAGTGCTGGTCTCTTCTGAGTCTGCTTCTTCCCTCAGCTTCTCCAACCCTAGCGGAGGAGGAGGCTGTCTACCATGCTGCAGGCTGGCATCCAGCTACGGAGCTGTTCCTACTGGCTTCTGGAAGGCTGACTAGGCATACCGCAGCAGTGGGTAACGCTCCAGTCCAAAGCAGCCTGGGGAGTTTAAAGTTGAGCATATTTGGGGCAGGAAGGCTCATCTAAGGAAGGAGGATCATTTTTCTGTAAGGACTTTGCCTGGTGGCAGGCAGGGTTCGAAATCTACCTATCTCCAGAATCCTGAAAACAGGGACAATCAGTATTTGGATTGGTTTATGGAGCCTCTAGAAGCTTTCTCTTTTGGCCATTGATGGTACTGTTGTTGTTGTTATGTGCCCTGGAGTCGGTTCCAACTCATAACGACCCTGTACAGAGTTTCCGAGGCTGTAAATCTTTACGGGAGTATAAAGCCTCATCTTTCTCCTGCAGAACAGCTGGTAGTTTCAAACTGCTGACCCTGAGGTTAGCAGCCCGATTCGTAACCACTACGCTACCTACTACATGGTGAATATTAAATGCTTTCCTAAACTCCACTGGCTTGGGCCCTCAACACTTGAGACTCCCATTCATCTCCATGTCTCCAGCCAGTTTATGTTGTTGTTGTTGTTAAGTGCCGTCAAGTTGGTTCTGATTCATAGCGACCCTCTGCACAACAGAATCAAACACTGCCTGGTTCTGGGCCATCTTCACAATTGTCATTATGTGTGAGCCCATTGCAGTTGTCTCTGTGTCAGTCCATCTCATTGGGGGTCTTCCTCTCTTTTGCTGAGACTCTAGTTTATGAAACATGATGTCCTTCTCCAGGGATTGGGCCCTCCTGACAACATGCCCAAAGTATAAGAAACAGTGTTTATACCATTGCAGTTTAGACCACAGCAGAATTAATAATGAGAGGGAACTTTCAGCAGTGAACTGCAAACCAAAAGGTCTGCAGTTCAAACTCACCAGCTGCTCCTCAGAAATCCTACATAGGGTTGCTGTGACTTGGAACCGACTCGACAGCACTTAACAACACCAACATGCTGTTTTAATTCATCTATCTGCACCCCAGGTTCCTTAGCCATAAAATGAGGATACACATACAAAGTCCAGCTTAATCCCCAACAAACTGATTTACAAAAAAAATGACTCTGTAAAGGGATCAGTTGCCTATGTGATCAAAAACTGTCAAATGATTAAATCAGACTGAGGGGAGATACCATCAGCAGTTTAGCTGTCAGGAGGAGAGGCAGAGTCAAAGTTAGGGGCAGAGGCAGTTCCAGTAGAGTATGGGAGACGCGTGGGCATGCCCACTGTGCACAGCCTGACTGCAGTGGCCAGCATCTGCCAGAGCGACTGCAGCCAAGTCAAGGAAAAATGGAAACTTGGAAAGTATTCTCAGTCATTGGGTGAATTGGTTATTCAGCAAATTGCTCGTTTAGTGAATTAATCTGTTTTGAATTTGCCTACTTTCAATAACGGTATCTTTGTAATAGGGTTGTTATAAGAATTTAATGAAATGATGCATGAAAAGCATTTAGCACACTGTCTGGCACAAATAAAGTAAAAAAAGAAGAGAATAATTGTCTCTTTCCTCCTCACCACAGACAGTATGTAAATAATTAGGTTTGGCTGTATTCCAATAAAATTTTATTTATAAAAACAAATGGTGGTACTCTCAGGGGACACCATGATCAATTTGCATAACATAGTCCACAGAGACAGTGTTCTGCAATCCTACTTTGTGAGTATTGTCTGGAATTTTAAAAAGCTCATGAGTGACTGTCTAAGGTGCAGCTATTGGTCTCTCCATGTGTGGAAGAAAGAAGTGTGACGAGAATTGAAGAGGCCTGGAATCAATTAGTCTAGTGGACTAATAGAACTTGTGAATGTCACTCTCCATGACTCTGAGACCAGAAGACCCAGACGATGCCCAGCTACCAACTGCTCTGAAAGGGATCACGTTAGAGTGTCCTGGATAGAGTGGGAGAAAATGTGGAACAAAACTCAAAATTATTTTTTAAAAAAAGAACAGTTTCTCAAAGATACTGGAGAAATCTGAGACTATGGACTTCAGCTACTCTTCAGTTCTGGAAAGGAACTCACCCTTGTGGCCAAATTTCCAGCCAAGCAGTAGATAGGTATATAGGTGGGGAACAAAACTGGTAAGGTATACTCACCATGGAATGGTCAATCATTCAGAATCAAAAGGGCAACATTTTCCTAAGGGCAAAGTTGAGACGGGATGAAAAGATGGGTGGAATACAATTAGAACTACAGGAAAGAAGGGGGATTACTGTTGTTGCATAGAGGAGGTTGTAATCAATGAGGTGAAACCAAGTGTAGGATTTGTTGAATGTGAAATGAATGATCTTGTGTGTAAATCTTCATTCAATTCACTATATATATATATTTTAAACGCATAAAAGAAATGGTATACGAGATAGGCCCAAGGGGCGTTTGCTGATCCCTGCTCTGGTAGAACATGCTTAGGTTTGACTTTGGTATTTACTCATTGATTCAAGCCCAAGTTCGTGTGAAGTTACATGTTAACTTACAGAAGAACTGGTAGAAAAGATAACATCAAAGGTTATATTTTTATTGCCTTTTTGGGGGAGCACAGTGGCTATGTAGGATAAGCACTGGACTGTGAACCGCAAGATTGATGGTTCGATACCACTATTAATTGATAGCATTTACATTTAGCCCTAGTTCTTGCTTCCTCCACAACCTAACAATAAAGCTGAACTGCCTTTCCTGAGAGACAGACACCAATGACTGAAGTACAGTCCTGCTTCATAGGAACTTTCAGTCTTAGATTCTGGATCATCATCTAAATGATTCCTGGTGTGACACTGAAGGCTAAAGCACTGAAACACTAGTTCAGTTTGAACCACAAGGTCTGCCCTTGAAACCCACTAGACAGCATCGCTATGAGTCGGAACCAACTTGATGGCATTTAACAACATAACAACAACAATCTAAATTCTAGGACCTTACATGTGTAATTACAAAAAATTATTTACACTCAGACATGTATCCCTAATGACTATAAAATTATACTGCACTTATATATTTGTTTTGTCTTGACAGGATTAAAGATATTTATAACTTCTTGCTCAGCTGTTTACATGTGTTATTTGTCATGTTTATTACTTTCAGGTGATTTGAAAGACGGTAAAAACAAGTCAGACAGGAAGGATCAATCCAATGTCGGAAATGATTCAAAGAAGGCAGATGGTAAGTATATAATTCCCATTACATTTTCCCATAAAATGTGCAATATAGTGCAAGCTGGTTAGAATTACACCCAAAATGGAAGTCGTGGTTGTTAATATATCCTTAAATTATATCTTGAAAAACCTTCCACTGCATTTTGAAAGTACTATTTATTACTCTTTTTTGCAGGAACTTATGAGTTATTGTTCTATCTGTCCCTTTCCACCATGCTTCCTCCATCACAAATGCTTTCAGTACTCTCTTGTCTCACGTCTACTTTTCACACTAGCCTTTACGAAAGGTGGCTTCTGAACTTGCTGATTGTAATGAAATGGAATAACACGTGCTGCTAACATGTTTACAAATCTTTGATCATGAGTTTTGCTGCATTAGTAGGAAATGTATCATATTTTCAGCTCTAATGTTTTTTGCTTTGGATTATGAATCTTGGTCAAGGGGAGCGGCGGGGGGGGGGCGGGGGGTGTGGCGGGGGGAAAGCAGAAATCCTTTTAGCATTTCAGGTCTCCCCTGTTATCCAAAATTAGAATGTTCTTACGGAACCTTTTATGAGCTGAAGTGGTATAAAGCAAAGAAACAATTGCTATTAATTTATATGGGGAACATTAGTGAGCATTCCAGACCCAAAAAATAACCTATCAAATCATACCAAATAACACTAACATATGAAGGGTGGGGCTTCAAAAAGTTCGTGGAAAAATTCCCTTATTTTTTAATTCTATTTTTCCATGAACTTTCTGAAGCCCGCTGGTGTAAGTGTTCACAGACACAGTTCAAAATTATGACAACTTGATGCTGAGATGCTGAATGCAGTTCCCGGGAAAGGAGCTTGGGGGCACCACTCTCACTGCTCTGGGTGGGCATTGCCTCTTTAATAGCTCATGAAAAAAAAAAGTCTGAACACCTTTTTTCAGCAAAGTGAAAAAAATCCTTTTTCGAGTTCTTTCACTTAGAAAAGTCAGCAACTAATGTAGATCTTTCATAAAAACAAAGTAGCATAAAGTGAACTTCTGAAAAGCAGGGGATACCTGTATCACAATGTTAGGAGTCCCAACTACTGGAGAACATACGTGGTTGGCCAACAAGAATAAGTTTTAAAGGCAAGACTTTAGATGATGCTCCCAAACCAAAAATAGAATGAACCTAATTGTAATATGTTTGAACTGATTTTACTTTCCATAGCAGCATTCCAAGCTTTGTAAAAAACCTGAAAGGTCAAACCTTTTACATGAAACCTCATTGTTTATTTTGTAACGTGGGCTCATTCCTAGTTCATTATTCCATACATGTACATGATGTTAAATTAAAAACAAAATTATCCAAGGGGTGGCTTTTGTTAGCATCTTGGACTTTCTCTGAATCATACCTCCCTGGAGACATAATATTGGATGCTATGTACAGCCTCGGAAACCCTGTGCAGGGTCACTATGAGTCGGAACTGACTCCACAGTACTTAACAACAACAACAATTCTTCGCACAGTTTGGTTAGAAAAAACCTGGGTAATCAGATTGAGGACTAAGACGAAATCTGAACACAACTCCTCACTTTGTTGTTATAAAAGATTTGGCCTCTGTAGCTTTCATCCCTAAGCTATTATAATAAGCTCTTTTTCATTATATATGTGAAATCAGTCCTCAAACTTTTCCTTTTAAGACCATTCAAATAATTCACTCCAGATGTTTTATCACACAGTGCCTGCGGAACAGACAGCTACAATTCTTCATCAGCTTTTCTACACACGTGGAAACCCTTACCTAATGAGTATACAACTTTTAATTAGTATATCTACTTTTAGTGACTAAGAAGTAATTTACCCAAAGACAAAATAGAATTCAATGTGACCATCTCTCATCCTTGTTCCATGCTGGGTAGGTTAGCTCAAATACTGGAGGCTTGTCATCCATCAGTAGGCTCAAATCAATGCAAAATAAGCTAGAAAATGTCTAGTGAAAGAGAATCATGTCAGGATAAGCCCTGCGCCTGCACACCTAACACATTCTGAATCTATCAACTGGCCTATCACTCCCTGATCTGAATTCCTATAGCATATAGCCTAAAAAAACATAATAAACCAAATCCCAAATCTTTGAATCTTGTTTTGCTTTGTAGCAGATCTTGTGCTATAAATATCTGCTATCATTTTGTCTTGTGGACATAGTGGCTTAAATTTTGTTACTTTCATAAAGCCTTTTTACAGTGCCTTTTTTGGTGGTAGTGGTGGGGGTATGTACACAAAAGCACTCAGGCATATATAATAATTTAAACCACCAAAGGGCACATTCTGCAAGCTTGCTTCCTGACCGCCAGCACTCAGTCCCTCTCTTTCCATGAATCTAGGGTCCTCAGCTGCTCCCTCTCTCCATGTCCTCATCTCTGCCTCCATCTCTTGTGTAGCTTCTTCTCTAGATATGGTCTCGCATTCTACTTGTGCTCTTCTCTCTTGATGGCCCTAGGATCCTCTGTTTCTGGACTGTAAGATTAACTACTCCCCCATTTTTGTTGCAAAACTACCTTTACAGTTGTGACAGTCACAATTAGTCCTCGTAACAATTACTCATCATAGTGCTTTTTAACCGAATAATTCTCAAATAATTAAAATAATATCAGAGGGAGGGGAGTGTGACAGTGAAACTGATAGTATATTCTATTTTACAAATAAGTATTGAGCCAGTTGTTTGATGACAAGGATGCTTCATTTCAGGCTGCTGGAAACAAAGCGGGAGACATTCTCCGACATCTGTCCCTTTCCCCTCCATGACCCCAGCATTTCACTGCGTCAGATGGGGCCTGCTGTGTCCATATGCTTGCAAGTTTGAACACAAAGAGCAACTTTGTCTTTTAACTTTATTGAAAAACTAACACGGTATCAGTCATCTTACTGCTTTGATATCATCAGGACTTACCTCATGGGCTTGTACTGTCTTTGTCTGTAACTGTTGCTGAATTAAAGTGAATTCATGATGAGATGTGATGGAGAAGAAGTAGATCATTCTCATGTACTCTTCCCCCTTGGTCATTGAAGTCTTCGACTTTAGAAAAAATTTAAAGGCATCTATAAATCAGTAAATGTTGTTGTTGTTATTAAGTGCCATCAAGTCAGTTTTGACCCATAGCAAACCTGCACAGTGTTTCTGAGGAGCAGCTGATAAGAACCACCAATCTTGCAATTCAAACCAACTTTGTAGTCCAATGCATTAACCTACAGCACCATACTAGGACTCCTAAATCAGTAGATAACTAATTTTTTAAAACTATATAAATATAACCAGATATGTTTTGAACATTTATTTTTTAATGAATCTTATTAAAACTTATTAATCTTATTATTATATCTGATGACCAATGGGAGTCAGTTTGACCATTTTTAATGCCATGCATCTAATGTAACTCCTGGAACCCATCAGTTGTTGTTGTTGTTGTTGTTGTTAAGTGTCATCAAGTCGATTCTGACCCTAAATAGGGTTTCAAAGGAGTAGCTGGTGAGTTTGAACCACCGACCTTGCAGTTCAAATGACTTTGCAGTTTGACGCATTAGCCCACAATGCCACACCAGGACTCTGGTAACCCATCAGTAGCCAGCATTATATAACCTTGGGATATAACCAGGCACAATTCATGCCCAGCTTGATCAAGCCCATTGTGGTTCAAAGTTGCAACGTAGTGTATATTCAGAGAGAAACCCAATGAAAAGTGGTCCGAAGTTGGTTATTTCCAGAATCCCATGAGCTGGGGCACACACATAGGGAAGCAGGGCGTGCTAACAGGGTAAATTACATCTTGGCATAATGAACACATTGCAGTTGTACATTATCTCTGTCAGGCTACTGAGGTGCTATTTAGTGCCCTGCAGCACTAATTTTCTAACCGACTTCAAAAACTGAATAGTACCTTGCTTACCCCTAGGGAGAAATGTACTAACATAAAGAGGTCTGGGTCTCTGAGCCAAGATTCTCCTAGTGCTGAAACTTTCCTGCTGTCATTGGGAGACACGTGGTGTACCACACAAGTGAATTCTTTTGACTATGTTTTCAGCCATGTTTATAGCAACATCACTTCTTGGATCTGCTATACGTATCATTGTCACCCAGAAATGGAAACTTCCCTTAACATCACTTGATGTTAACAGATACAAGGAGACACTCAACTTTCATGTCTCTCAAAAGGATCGTTATAATTAGGCCAGCAGTGTTATTAGCCAAGTCCCAGGAAGTGAGTACAGCAGGGGTTTCTCCTTCATTGAAAGTTATGAGAATTATAATAATTATGGATGTTGGTTCATGAAATTTAAAAGTCAATTGTGAGGAGTGGAAAAAGTGAGCAAAAGACACTCTTTGGATATATACACTTCTGCCAAAGATGAAGCAACAAGAGCTGAATTTACTTTCCCACCTGAAGCAACAGTAATAACCGCAACAAAAACACTGGACATCAAGCATCAGGCACTGATTGATGGATAGCGATGATGGAGCGAGAGGGAGAGGATGGCATGAGGTCCACAGTTGCTTCATGTTTCTACCTTGAGACGGTTTCCAGGTAGCATGGGGACAGGAGCATGCAGGAGAACATGGTAGATTCCTTAAGTCAAGAGATTGTATAAGAAGGTCCAAGGGGACCAAGATAGCTAGAATTCATAGGATAAAGCACCAGAGAGGAGAGAGATCCAGGGAAAGAGAACTCCAGAGATCTAAAGGGTCCTCTTAAGCATTCATCAAATGCCAGGGAAAAAACATTTGAGAAGATTAGAGAAAGCAGTCACCATACTCACACAGGGAGAGAAAAGTGCCTCATCCCATTAGTCTAACTTGAGTATCTTCTATTTTAAGGAACATTGTCAGTTTGTTCTGTTTTAGTGACTTCTGTATTGCTGTGGTGCAAGCTATACCACCGGTACGTTAAATACTAGCAGGGTTAGTCATGGTGAACAGGTCTCAGTGGAGCTTGCAGACTAATAGAGTAGGAAGGAGACACAGACTACTTCTGGATGGTTAACCACTGAAAACC